GACCTCATTCGGTTGTTAGGAAGAAGAGAGGAGCTTTTGTGTGTTCTAAGCTCTTACTGCCACATGTGGAGGCTCGATTTAGAGCTTCTGTGATTCCCACTTACTGAGATTCTGGGTCTAAGCTGAAATAAGGGCGTCTCCTCTAACTCAGTTCATTTTATTAACCAGAAGATGCAAACCCCTGATTACTTAATCTTCTACTTCCCAACTTCTGTGATGTTTCAAAATTCTTGTGATTTCTAAGTAAACTATTTTTTTTCAATAGTTTCATTTCTCATTAATAGTTCCTCTCTCAAACTTAAGGATGATTTGAATCATTCAACTTGACTTTTACCACTAAAATGATAACTTTAATATTCTATTTTTATGATTCCTCTTTTAAAACATAATGACTCTGGGCTGATGAATATTTTGGCCCTAAGACAAACTATTGATACTCACATACATTAAATTTTTATTATTTCCAGCTTTCAAAGACCTCATTTAAATTAGTTTTTGAATATAACATCTTCTCAAACTGCACTTAAAAATCTGGCTTTATCACAGAAGAACAACATCTTTATAAAGTCTATTTTGCCAAGAGATTTGCCGCAAGCTTTTTAAAAAACCCTATTTAAATAGAAACCATTTCTCACCCAACAATAGTGGAGTACACATTCTTCTCAAGTGTACATTGAGCATTAACCAGAACAGACCAAGCTACAGGCCATAAAAGTTGCCTCAATAAGTTTTAAAGGATTGAAATCATACAAAGTACATTCTTCAATCACAAGGAAATGAAATTAAAAATCCTTAACATGGCAGTCTGAGGAATTCACAAGTGTGTAGATACTAAATAACACACTTCTAGGTAGCCAGGAGGCCCAAGAAAAAATCATGAAAAACATTAGAAAATACCTAAGTGAATGAAAAAATAACATAACATGTTGCTTCTTGACCTTTTGGCCAAGATCAAGTATAATACAAAAACATAACATACCGAAACCGTGGGATGCAGCTAAAGCAGGGCTTAGAGGAAAATTTGTAGCTATAAATGCCCATATTGGAAAAGATGGATCTAAGATCCAAAATAATAACCTAACATTCCACTTTGAGAAACTCAGAAAAGATGACCAAACTAAATCTAGAGAAAGCAGAACAAAATAAAAGGCCAGGGCAAAAATAAATGAAATTGCCCCTCAGCCATTCACTCCAGTCCATCCTTAATCCTTCTTGAGGGGGGAAAGAAAAATCAGTGAACCCAAAAGTTGGTTCTTTCAAATGATTAACAAAAAATTGTGAAAACTTTAGCTAACAGATAAAAGAAAAAAAAAATGAGAGAGAAGACTCAAATTATTCAAACCAGACATGAAAGTGGGGACATCACTCCTGCTTTTGCAGAAATGAGTAGGATTATAGGCAATACTATGAATGACTAGATGCCAACAGATCAGATCACCCAAAACAAGGTTGGGGGACTCCCACGTCCTAATGTCTAAACTTAACTGCAAGCCTCCAGTAATGGAGACAGCAGGTATAAGCAGCACTCTGCCACACAAGGTCTCAACCGCTGAGCACCCACTGGGCACTTGCCTTGAAGCTTCATCTCGGAGAGCAGCTGAGTGGCCAGCACCTGCACACTTGGGGCGGGACCTGGGGTCTTCTTCTGAGTCCAGCCCTTCAGCTCCTGTCTGTGGCTTAGCACGTGCACCACAGAGCCCACCAGGTCCTCTGTAAACTTTAAGATCACAATTTCACCATTAAAAACGTTCCTCTGTAACCTAAGTCATATCATAATACAGAGAAGGGCAGTTTTCTTTATCTCTTTAATGCCAACAATGAGGGGCCATAATGTGGGGAAAAATTACGCAACTTACACAGTTATTTGTTTTTCTAATGATATACTTGGTTGGCCTAGAATTTCTGCCAAAGCCTTTGTCCAGGAGTTCTGACCTCACCCAGATAGTTCTGCAGTCCAGGGTTCCCCAAGGGGTGGGCATCTCATGATGCCGCCCATCAGCCGTGTAGCCTGGCCTAAGTCCCTATCTGAGGATACCAAGGCAGCTTAGGGCCTGCGAAGGGCCTCGAAGCTCCTTTACCTTTTGGACTTCTCTGGCTTTCACGGGCCCTTCTGTAGCCGAGATCATTTTCAGAATCACCAGACTCTTTTCCTCTGAGTTTCCCTTCAACAGGTGGGACATGGACACTGAGAACTGCTCCTGGGACACGTGCTCACTGGGCCCCTGTGCCTTCCCTGTCAGGTCGAGCCTCCGCATGCCATCGTACAGTCTGGTGACCATCTCCAAGGGAAGAGCGTCCCCAATGTGGTTCTGTTGGGGACAAGCAGGAGAAAAGACTAGAAAGGCTGCAAGTTCAAACTGATAGCATCGCAGAAAGAAATATGCAGGGGTCAAGACCAACTACCGCTACCTCACGGAGCCTCCATCAGCCCCTGAGCCTTTCTGCATCCCCATGGGTACCACCCACACCCACACCCGTGGCAAATGTCTATGTATAGCTGATTTGGTCTCTATATTAGGAACCAAATATATTTGCTAGCTTTTATTTCTTATCTACATTCTTATGCTCAATGTGCATTTTTGGTTATTTTGTATTTAAATTTTAAA